ACAAAAATTTAGTTTAAAAATCAACCGGGAAGTCAGTTAAATAAAATATTGAAACACACTACACTTTGTGTATACAAATAATGCGCACTATCTTTCAATAATTTAATTAACTGACTTTAAGGTTGAATTTTAATCTGAAACTTTGTGGAGATATTATAGATTTCATAAAGAATATATTTAAAAAAAATTATGAAAAAATTCTATCGGGAAGGGCCTCAAATGGCTCCGGTCTGACATCATTTCCCGTTAGGCAGGCCTAATTTCAAGGTTTCATCTTTGGACTTTAATACGTTTTGCTCAGCAATCAACACTCTCCTAATTTTCTCAAAAATATCTTCCAAATTTGAAATTTCAATTTCACAAGTAATTCTCTGCTTTTATTTTTTATTTTTTAATATAATTTTTATTCGTTTAGTTTATATATTAAGATTTTGATGAAAGACTTACATTACTTTGTATGTTGAAATTTGCGTATATAAAGTTAAGCTTTTGCAATATATTTATATAACCTTTTAAGAGCCTCTTTTTTCAATCGCCCTGGGTCCATAAAATATCAGGACCGGCCCTGATAGGAGTAAAAGATAGGCAACATGCAAAAATAGGAGTACCATGTTTTGAATAGGAGTAACTTTAGTGTTTATACAAGTATATCCCTACCCAAGCCCCAACAATTTTTATTAATAATTAAAACATAAAAGGAATAACATTAATTTATAATAAAATTGTAAAAAAAATGAAAAACACAAAAATATACGGAGTATCAAATAAAACATACTTCGTATTAAATAAAATTAATAAAAAATAAAAATTAATAAAATAAAAAATATAAAATAAAAAACTAAAAAAACAAAATTAAAAAATAAAAAACTAAAACAAAAAAATATGTAGGCGGCTGCCGCCGCCTCAACAACCTCCCAACACCAGCTCCGACCACCGAAAAAAATGCCAACATTTTTCCAAAATGCCATCATGATGGCAGATTTTGAGAAAATTTGGCATTTTCAAAGAGCAAAACTGCCATCTTTATGGCATTTTCAAAGAAAAATGGAAGTTTTAACATAAAATGGCATTTTTTCCGCCGATCGCAGGTGACATTGCTGGGTGATGGCCGAGGTTGCGGCAAAGGCCTGCATAATTTTTTTTATATTTTTTAATGTGGTTTATCTATTTTTATTTATTTTTAAAAAAATTTATTTTTTAAAAAAATATTTTTTAAATTTTTATTATTTCAATATATTTTTTCAAATATTTTAGATTTTTTTTTATATTTTATTAGGATCAAATAAGTCATATTTTAGAATTAACTAGGTTAGGGGTATTAAGGATACAAAATTAATGTTTACTTCTATTGAAGGAAGTTTTAAGTTTCACTCTTATTTGTGCAATTAGTTTTATGTTTACTCCTATATTGGGCAATTTCTCATTTAATTACTTAAGTATGCATATTTTGCTTATAGTGATATCTTTAATACTCTGTACATAATATGAGATGTCTTTTATTCAATTACTAGTGATATCGAATGGATCATATTGTGTTATTTGGTTACATAATTAACCAACAATATATGGATCAATTACAAGTTTTTCATTGATATATATGCGTGAAATATAAAAATTGCATCTCATACAAATTCAAACAGTTATACGAAGTACTATGTAATAGATACAAATGCAAACAATTATACGTCGGAATACATAATAGATAGATTCTTTTAACATCACACACATATTTATCTTCAAAACCTAAAGATATCATACAAATTGCCCGAAATGGCGATAGATTTGATGACTTTAAATTGTACTTAGATGACTAATCAAATGTCATGGATTTTAAGGGTATCTATGATCTGTGATAATTGAAAATTTTGTTAATTCTAAATCAGAAATGTGTGTATATATTGAGGGTTTTTTCTTCAACCCGTAGGCCCAACACGTAACCCATGGATTTCGAGCGGAGAGTGTATGTGAATACGAATTTGTAGCAAGTAAGATGGGCTTAGAAGTATCTTCAACAGTGGGTTGTATCTTATTAAGGGAGTATTTGCAATTGCTTCAACTTTAAAAAAGTGATTTTTTAAAGTGATTTGGGGAAAAGGAGTAAAGGGTCAATTTGGTCCTCGAAGTTGCAAAAAAGGGGTCAAATAAGTCCTTATATAGAAGATTCTGTCCGGACGTGCCATTTGAGGTGGCTCCCGATAGAATTTTTTGATGAATTTTTTTGAGCATCTTATTCATTAAGTCTAGTTTACTCATACCAAATTTCAGCTAACAATTCAATCGGGGAGACATTCAAATGAATTCTTGAAGATAACTGCGCTTTTAACGGCACAGTTATCTTCAAGAATTCATTTGAATGTCTTTCCGATTGAATTTTTATTTGAAATTTGGTATGAGTAAACTAGACTTAATGAATAAGATGCTCAAAAACATTCATCAAAAAATTCCACCGGGAGCCACCTCAAATGGCACGTCCGGACAGAATTTTCTATATAAGGACTTATTTGACCCCTTTTTTGCAACTTCGAGGACCAAACTGACCCTTATCTCTGGGGAAAAGTGATTAATAGTAAAAGTTGGTAGTGTTTGAGAAAAAAGTGATTCTGAAAAAGTAAAAGTTGGTAGTGTTTGGTAAAATAAGTACTTTTTGTGTAATAGAAAAAGTGAAAAGCAGTTTAAAGCACCCTTCCACCTGCTTCAAGCTTTTAGCTTTTAAGTGATTAATTTAAGCAGAAGTTGTCATTTGAAAACACTCTTTTTAACTTTTTTTAAGCCAAAAATTGAAAAGTGCTTTTTTAATCAACTGCAAACACTCCTTAAGTAATAATAAGAAGTTGAGTACAACACACTAATGTTATCTGGCCAACGGCCGTTCGTTTGTCTTATAAGGAGAAGAGCCGCGAACACTGCTATGAGCTATAAAAATGCTAGAATGCTAAGGCGGGTAAGTTGTCAACGCTTTACAATGAAATAAATGCTACTATTTATACTACCAAGGGGCAGATGAATATGCTGATGTGGAGAGCTTTGGATGGCTGGGTCTCAACCACCAAATCCGCAGCATTAAATGCGCTTTCCGCCGGAATCTTGGTTTCCCGGCCAGTATCTGGAGACGAGCGTCCTCACGAGTCATGGGCCTTTCCGTGATGATGCCACGAAGGATGGTGAGTCGTACGTCCTCCGTCTAGGACCTCTAAGGCTGAGCATCCCGGGTGGGGATGCACGTTGGTGGTGCCTTGGGTTGTGATGGATAATTGCCCCTGGATGGTGCTTTGACGACGTTCGTCTGGTATCAACACCCTTGTTGGGTCAAGACGTTCGTCGATATAGGAGGTAATGGACCAATCTCTTGATTGGGCCATTAACCAACAATATGATTACTATGAATAAGAATTTTCAAAGGATAAAATGTGTCGATGTAACACACGAGTGATTGAAAACTACCATCTAAAGTGTGAAATAATCTTTACCTTGACAATTTGATATCATAAAATTTGATATCATGAGAAAAAATGGATAATTAAGATTTGGGATAAGGGTCAGATAGGGCCTCGAACTTGAAAAAAATGTCAAATAAGGCCATATTTAGGATGCTCTGTCCGGCCGACGCCATTTGGGGCGGTTCCCCATGGAATTTTTTGATGAACTTTTTTGAGAATCTTATTCATTAAATCTAGTTTACTCATATCAAATTTGAACTAAAACTTCAATCGGGAAGGCATTCAAATGAATTCTTGAAGATAACTGTGCAATTAAAAGCGCAATTATCTTCAAGAATTCATTTGAATGCCTTCCCGATTGAATTGTTAGTTCAAATTTGATATGAGTAAACTAGACTTAATGAATAAGATTCTCAAAAAAATTCATCAAAAAATTCCACCGGGAACCTCCCAAAATGGCGTCAACCGGACATAGCATCCTAAATATGGCCTTATTTGACATTTTTTTTCCAAGTTCGAGGCTCTATCTGACCCTTATCCCTTAAGATTTTATCAATTTAGAACTTAAAAGTATGATCACTAACCATAATCTATAAGTGAGTGTATTGATGTAAAACCCGCATGATTAATAACTAGTTAAGATATTTTTTTGATGATACTACTAGTTAAAATATCATAAACTTTGATATTATGAGAAAAAATAAAAAAAAGTTGTAGGAATTAGGCATGGCAATGGGTCGGGGCGGGGCGGGTATTGCAAGACCCGGACCCGCCCCGTGGCTTGGCGGGGCGGGGCGGCCCCGCGCCCGTGACCTGCACGGGTCCAAACTTGTTGACCCATGACCCGCCCCGCCATAACCTAATTAGCTAGTATGTATTTTTATTTGTGAGAAGTTGTTACCAATTGAATCTACATAATGTTTATCTCTAAATAATAATTAAAAATCAATATATTAAATCAAATTCATGATACGCTAAAAATTTCAAAAATTAAGGAAAAATTACTCAAACTTGAATAGTTAATCTAATTAGTTATATTAATAATTGAATATATGTATTAAAATTCTATATATAAAGAAGACATTGATAATCCGTCGTGCATCTCATTCTAATATATACTCATATATATTCATATATATCTTAAATTATAAGATCAAAGAATTTATGATTTATTGTATACGCACATATGTATGTTGAAGTATATTTGTAGTATAATTTAAGAAAAAGTATGTATACTTATATATTGAGCGGGTCGGGTCGGGGCGGGTCGGGCCGGCATGGGTCAATTCTAATACCCGGACCCGCCCCATTGTATAGGCGGAGCGGACCCGCCCCATTTGCAAGACGGGGCGGGGCAGACCCGCCCCAAATGTCTCGGGCCAGGGCGGGTCATTGCGGGTCGATTTTTTTGACATCCCTAGTAGGAATACTCCGTATAATACTCCGTATGTGTATGTAAATACCAAATGGAGAAAGGAAGGGGAGGCACAGTGGGGGATCGTGTTACGTGTGCATATACAAACCCCACACCTATTTAAACCTCTCCTCTCTCATTCTCACTCTTTACTGCTGGCTGCTACTCTCCATCTCGCTCTATAATGCTATAAAAGTAATCCCCATTCATGTGTACAGTCGCATTCTCTCAAGGGTTTCCCGTTTTACTGCGCTGTCTCTCGCTTTCATCTTCCTTCCCTAATCGTAACGCTTCTGTGCTCTTCATCTTCTCATCTCTCAGTCGCCTAGATTGAAATTGATGTCTAATCTGTACCACCAGAACGTCAATTTCTCCCCTGCCAGAGCTGTTTCTAACCATATTGATAGGTATTACTCTCTTGCTTATTTGTTTGGTTGGAATTTCGGGGCTTGAATCTCAATCTGTAAAGCTTTTTGGGTTTTGTTTTGATTTTGTGTAGTCAGTATATGGCAGAGCTGTTAGCGGAGCGGCAGAAGCTTGGCCCCTTCACGCAAGTTCTTCCCATATGCAGCCGTCTCTTGAATCAAGGTTGTTTGTCTTTTTGCTTTTGTTTGGTGCCTCAGATTTTGTTCTTGGATTCTCTTTTACCGATTCCATATCTTTTAACACACTTCTCTTGTGGACACAAAAGTACAGTTTTTTCTTTTTCTTTTTGGCTTGTTGCAAAGATTGGACTGGTTAGAGGACACACTTCATGTGCTGAATTAGCTTTACTTCTCTTTTTCAATCATAGCTCTTGGTTACCAGCACAAACTAACTGTATCGCATCTGATTATTCTCATGAGCATATTCTTATTCGGTGTGGGGGTTCTTATACCAGCCTTCTCAACTTCAGGGTGATCCACACTTGTTGAATTAACTATATTCTAAATTTGTGGGATTGTGAGATTTGATAAAATATGGAGGCTATTGCACTAGAACAGACCATTGCATTTTTACCCAGTAACTAGTACTCCGTAGATACCTGTAGTCTGTTTGCTTTTATGACATTATTTTTACTAACTAGTTCGTAATAATTCTTTTAAGGAGTGACTTATTTGCGTTTATGACATTGTTTTACTAACTCAAATTATATTTTAACAGTAGAATAAGATTGGAAGGATATAGTTTTCATAATGTAGGGACATGGGAGAAGAAATAAAGAATATGCTAAAGAATCAGCCAGTGATACATTCCAAACCAAAAACTAAAACCTCTTTTTAAAATTTTGCTTCCATTTTAATGACAGAAATATTAAGAGTATCTGGGATGACTACCAACCAAGGATTTACTGACTTTGAGAGATTGCAACGTGGAAGCCCTAGACCAATGGCTTCTCTTGACATGATGCATGATATTGGAGGAAAAGTTTTAGGTGGTTGGGGCAGTCTTCAACAGGAGGTGAGAAGACCTAGACATCCTAATTTTAGCTAAATATAATACACATTTTAACATATTTTTTATCAGTTTTCTAAGTGGCAATCCCATTGACAATTTGTTTAACAACATCCCACATCTCATCATTATTGCCAATTTCCTTTCAATCCAATCAACTAACTTCACTGGTAGAGTGGTGTTATCTTTGAACAATTGAAAGGCGAAGGAATGAGAAGGACGTTCTTTTTCTTCAAGGTGATGAGAAAATTCAACTATCTTGAACATCTTATATGCTAAAAGTTTGAAAGACCAAACACTGGTACACTTGCTCATAGCAAGCAAGTTTGTTATCTTGGAGCATGTTAAAACTAACTGAGCAGACTGTTACTGAGAGAGTATATCTTGTCATCCTTAAAAATAATTTTAACAGTGACAGAACCCTGAGTTCCCCCAAAACCATCCTTTGTGCTGACTGCTGATTCACAAAGTACTCTTTGCAAGATTATGACAAAGTCATCTTTGATGCATGTAATTTCCCTTGTAGCTCCCACAGTTTTCGATTGACAGCTCATGCTATAAGGTGGAGGGGTGGTTTTTATTTTATGTTTATTATTACATTTATATAATGGAAATTTAAAGAAAATGAGTGATTTTTTTTATAGAAAAACATGATACAAGTGAACATGTAGTCGATATAAATTTTAGGAATAAAAAATAAAGATAAATTTGTACAACAAAGATCGATGCTCCCCTCCCCTCTAAAATCACTCAACCAGACAAGTCATAAGAGTCAAGTGAGATAGAGTTATTCTACATTCTCTCTATTCAACTACAGATGGAGACAAACTAGAGAGAAACAATCTTATGGCTCGATTTTCTTTGAACTATTTATGTACAACGTGATGTATTCATGTATCTAGTTGAGGATATTTGGACTGGATTACTGACTGAGGTCGTGTTTGTTTTTGTTTGGGACCAGAGACTTGGCGGGCCACAAGGGATGCCGATTGATTGGCAAGCAGCATCTGGAAGTCCAAGCTCTTTAATAGCAAAGAGGATCTTACGATTGGATATACCCGTTGAAAGATATCCAAATGTAAGTTGAGTTGGAGATTATGCACCATGATTTGCTCTGTGTTATGTTGATTTGCAACAATGAAGCACAACTCACATATTTTTTTCATGGGACAGTACAACTTTGTTGGTAGACTTTTAGGCCCTCGTGGAAATTCTTTGAAGCGGGTCGAAACTTCTACTGGGTGCCGTGTATTCATTAGAGGAAAGGGCTCAATAAAAGACCCCGACAAGGTATAGTGTTTGTTAGAACTTGTTTTTTGTCAATGCCACTTAGGGTCCGCTTGGGACTTGGAAAATGCTTGGCCAAGCAACGGGAGAGGAAAATAAGGAGTTTTGGAAGGAAAGAAAATGTAGGGAAGAGTAAAAATGCATCAAACTCAAAAGAAATTTATATACGGAGTATTTGTTAAAACTCATTTTTTTGTATGATATAAAGACTTAAGAAAAATACATGTACTTCAAGTTCTTTAAAACTGTTATTATTTTTTTCCTTCTCATTTCCAAGTTAAAACCAAAAATAGAAACAAAGGAGTATGGTTTTTAGCATTTTCCCCTTTCCTCACCATTTTTTGTGTGCCAAACAGATCCTTAATGAATTATTTTTTGGTGATGAGCTCTTTCATGGTTTTTTAGATTTCTTCTGGTTATGGATTTTTGTTTCTTAAATTCCAGGAAGACAGCCTAAGGGGACGGCCTGGTTATGAGCACCTAAATGAGCCATTGCATGTTTTGGTTGAGGCAGAGCTACCAATAAATATCATTGATTCACAACTGAAACAAGCCAGGGAAATTATTGAAGAATTGCTCAAACCCGTGGTATGCTGTCTACTTGTTTTTTAAATCCTCTGTTCACATATCTACTGTTGAGTATTAATGGAGTGTGTTATGCCTTTTTCCTTTAATATTGTAGTTTGATTTCATGTTTCGTGCATCAAACCAATAAACTGAAACACAGGAAAGACAAATGAGTACTAGGCTAGGATATGTTAATTTTTATTTTTCCAATGTAACTGCTGCTTGGTCAATATGTCAATGGCATTGCATTATTGCAAAAATTCTCGACTTTGGCTGTTTTTGTTATGTTCATGCTTCGGGTCACCTAGTTCTACTTAGATCCTGTAGAGCCGTGATTAATCCTTGCCTAACTAACATCTTATATTAGTATAGACAATCATTAGTCAAGCTATTTCCTCTTTCACTGTTTAATTTCTTTACCATTCTTTTAATATAAATTTTTAACTTAGATTCCTGTTTAGCACAGCTTATTTTTCATGTGCCGTCTCACAATTTTCTTCCAGCTTAGACTTGACAAGCCCATTTAGAAAATGAAATTGCATGGTTGAAGTTTATTTAGACAGGAAATGAACAATATCACACAATTCTTTATTAACAGGAAACCTGATAGATTTCCCCAAACAGGTTAACGGAAAGGAAATTACTGGGAAAGGATGTGATTTCTAAAATTTTAAGTTTGTGTAATAACACTCTGTAAAATATTATAAAAATAAATAAACTGTAATTGATTTCAAGATGTGCATTAAAGAGAATGATTTTTGCATGAATATGGATGACATAGAACTAGTGAAGACTAAAAGGTTTGTAACACCTAAAGTTGATTCTTGACTCTTTGTGATGAGCTTTTTTTTTTGTACCTTAAACACAGGACGAGTCTCAAGACATGTATAAGAGACAACAACTTAGGGAGCTTGCTTTGCTGAATAACAGTTTCAGAGAAGAGAGCCCCCAACCAAGGGGTAGTTTATCTCCTTTTAGTTCCACTGGAATGAAACGTGCCAAAACCGCTTGGTGATAATGACTGAAAGTGCGCCACCATGATTGGTGGATCTAAAATTGTCGCTGATCTTATGAGTATGAGAACTGCAAACCAGTGGATGTGTATCTATTAACCAACCTTGAGGTGCCAGGCTATGTCGTATGTTAGGCCTCATACTATACACAACAGGTCATAACTGCTCTTACCGATTTGTTGACCGTAGTAGTTTGTACTTTGCTGTTTCTAAGAGTAGAGTGATTATTTGATTTGTTTGTTCTTGAGCTCTATAGTCCATAAGCTTAACTATGTTTGGTTTGCCATTCTTTTTCCGTTTGTGTAATAAATTATCATTCTGTTGTCAAAAATAAGTTGGATGTTGACATGTCAACTCATGACCAAGGTTTTTAATCATAAAGTTGGTGCCTTATCTACCTCAGTACCTCTATTTGTTTTTCCTACATAATGTAGGCATGGACCCGGTTCGGGCCGCCCGGCCCGGGACCGGCCCGGCCCGCCACTGTGCGAGCCCGGAACCGGCCCGGTTCTCGGGTCCGGGTCCGGGTCGGGCCTAGGCCCGGTGGGGTGGCCGGGTCCGGGCTCGGGCCTTGAATTTGGCGAACCGGCCCGGCCGGGTCGGGCCCGGGCCCGGGCCGAATTAATTTTTTTTTAATTTTTTTTTCTTTTTTTGGGGTTAGCCAAGTTGGGCTTGATGGTTAGGAGGGGTTTGGGGGTTTGGGGGGGTGTGGGGGTGAGTGGGGGGTTAGGAAAGCAAAAAAAAAAAAAAAAAATTATAACCGAACCGGAGGCCCGGCCCGGCCCGGACCCGGACCGGACCCGGTGGCTACCCGGGCCGGTCCCGGGCCTTCCTTCCCAAAAAAAAAGCCCGGCCGGGCCCGGCCCGGAACCGGAACCGGCCCGGCCCGGCCCGGGTCCATGACTAACATAATGCATCATCAAGTCTGTATGTATTGAGGGATGTTTGGAATTGGTGTTGCTTTTGTTTCTTTTTTAAAAAAACAGAAGTAGGATGCGAATAAGTTTTTCAGATGTTGGTCTTTCCAACTTCCGAAAAACTGTTTTTAGGAGCAACTTGGAGCACTTAGAAACATTTCTACACTTCCACGGTTCCACCCGAACACTCCAATATTTGATTCTACCCTTGAAGGAGCAGTAGTAGTTTATGAAGCAAATCCGTCGCTCTGTATTTGGCATCATCCACCTACAAAATTTGCAATAAACTTCACTGTTAAGTGCAATTTAATGACACCATCGGAATAAATGTGGCGCATTTGACATTGAGTCATTGGGATAATAACCCTTTTACGGCCTTTCCTGTATGTTATAGTTTTGTATTTCTATTTTTTCAATTGTCTATTTTGTTGATGTTTTTTATCGGGATAAGGGTCAATTTGGTCCTCGAAGTTGCAAAAAAGGAGTCAAATAAGTCCTTATATAGAAGATTCTGACCGGAAGTGTCATTTGAGGTGGCTCCCGGTGGAATTTTTTGATGAAATTTTTTGAGCATCTTATTCATTAAGTTTAGTTTACTCATATCAAATTTTAGATAAAAATTCAATCGGGAAGACATTGAAATGAATTTTTGAAGATAATTGTGCCGTTAAAAGCGTAGTTATCTTCAAGAATTCATTTGAATGTCTTCCCGATTGAATGTTTAGCTGAAATTTGGTATGAGTAAACTAGACTTAATAAATAAGATGCTCAAAAAAAATTATCATAAAATTCCACCGGGAGCCACCTCAAATGGCACGTTCGGACATAATCTTCTATATAAGGACTTATTTGACACCTTTTTTACAAGTTCGAGTACCAAACTGACCCTTTACTCGTTTTTTATCTTTAGTTTTCTACCCTTTCTTTTTTATTTTACTCCTGCAATTTGGTGGCACGCCAAAGTTTATGCAACCCATCCAAAATTATGTATAGAAGGATGCCAAAGTGAGTGTATGCACCCTTGGATGAGGGGTTTGCCACTTGTAATCATTGTTGTGCATGGAAGAGAATGCACGGATCACACTCGGGCCTGGACTCGGGCTGGTCGGACCGAACCGGAACTGGCCCGAACTGGTACTGTTCTGGCCCGGCTCGGGAACCGGTCAGCTGGACGGTTCGGGCCTACCTGGCCCGGTAGGTAGGCGGTCCGGGCTCGGGCCTTGCAAATGACGAACCGGCCTGGCCGGGCCGGCCCCGATCCAGGCCTCCAACGGCTGTTTTTTTTTTTAAAAAAATAATTAATTAATGAAGGCTCCCTAGCCGTTGGGAATAATCCCAAACGACTCTATTGCCGTTGGAGGGGGAGGTGGGGGGGGGGGGGGGGTTTGGGGGTGGGGGGGTGGAGATACCAAAAAATTCCTATTTATACTCCTATTTTCTCTACATTTTTTACACCATCTTCATACAATCCTACTCTCTAATTTTCTATTCTCTCATACTCAATCATCTCCATCTTCATCTTCTCCAAATTTCTCTACATATATATTATTTATATAATTAGTATATCTACTTATATATTAATTATCTACTTATATACATATATTATATTACTAATATTTATTATCTACTTAATATATACTTATTATCTACTTATACATCTCCATCTTTTTAATATTTACTTTATTATCTTTATTTATTGTTATTTACTTATATATATTAAAGTATTATATATAAGTGTATTACTCATCTTATAGTACTAGTAATATACTTATATATTATATACTATAAACATTATATTATATATTAGTTATACAATAATCTACTTATATACCTATATTATATTACTAATATTTGTTATCTACTTAATATATACTTATTATCTACTTATACATCTCCATCTTTTTAATATTTACTTTGATATCTACTTATTATCTATATTTATTGTTATTTACTTATCTATATTACTTATCTATATTAAAGTATTATATATAAGTGTATACTCATCTTATAGTAATATACTTATATATTATATACTATAAACATTATATTATATATTAGTTATAGAATTATATTAGTTACACTTGAATTCATAGTAATTAAATTCATCGTATGAGTTAATTTTTTACATTTCTCATTATCCTAATTTAGTTAATTAATTACATTTTTCATTAAAGTATAAAACTAGTTAATTGTTACATTTTTCATTAAAGCATAAAACTAGTTAATTGTTACATTTTTCACTTATTAATAAAAGTAGTTAATTGTTACATTTTTCATTTCGCTATTAGTTAATTTGTTAATTGTTGCATTTATCATAAAAGTATAAAACTAGTTAATTGTTACATTTTTCATTTCCCTATTATTTAATTTGTTAATTGTTGCGTTTATCATATAAGTAAAAAACTAGTTAATTGATAATTGTTGCATTAAAGTATAAAACTAGTTAATTGTTACATTTTTCACTGATTAATAAAAGTAGTTAATTGTTACATTTTCATTTCGCTATTAGTTAATTTGTTAATTGTTGCATTTATCATAAAAGTATAAAACTAGTTAATTGTTACATTTTTCATTTCCCTATTCTTTAATTTGTTAATTGTTGCGTTTATCATAAAAGTAAAAAACTAGTTAATTGTTAATTGTTGCATTAAAGTATAAAACTAGTTAATTGTTACATTTTTCACTTATTAATAAAAGTAGTTAATTGTTACATTTTTCATTTCGCTATTAGTTAATTTGTTAATTGTTGCATTTATCATAAAAGTATAAAACTAGTTAATTGTTACATTTTTCACTTCCCTATTCTTTAATTTTTTAATTGTTGCGTTTATCATAAAAGTAAAAAACTAGTTAATTGTTAATTGTTGCATTAAAGTATAAAACTAGTTAATTGTTACATTTTTGATTTCCTTATTATTTAATTTGTTAATTGTTGCATTTATCATAAAAGTAAAAACTAGTTAATTGTTAATTGTTGCATTAAAGTTTAAAACTAGTTAATTTTATTAGTAAGTGGATTCTTGGAAATTTGCTATAATTTTATTAGTCGCATTTTATCATTACTATTGTACTCATATTAAAACATTTGATAACATATAATATTTGTTACATTTTTAAGATGGACCGTGGTAGACATTCCGTAGATATGAGTAATATCCAACGCAACCGAAGGAAGGAGATTGCGACAAGGCATCCTAGTTTACGCAAAGGCAAAGGTAAACGGCGGGCCGGATCTTCTTCTCAAAGTCGAGAAGATTTTGAAACGGGATACCAAAGGCGAGATGTGGATGCAATGTCCGACGAGCAACTACAACAACTATTGGCGCAAAATGATGGTCGCTTTTTCCAACAACAAAACATCTCAGAGTCCATTGATGAAGAGGAGCTCGAGGATGACGATGCGGAGGAGGACGAGGGGGGCGACGGGACTCACGGCATCCCGGATGATGAGCAAGAGTTGGAGAACGAGGGCGGTTCATCCCAAGTTGGTAAGAAATCTAAATCTCCTATTATAGAAAATAATTTTACAAAGAGGAAAAGACAAAACAACCGATAAATGGTACGCAAGTTGCAATCATTGCAAGGAGTATAGCTTGGGAACTTCCAGCGGATACGGGAGTCTCAAAAGGCATCTTAAGTCCGCGCACTCTATGGAGTATGCGAAAATAGACAAAGGCAAGGGGAAGCAAACTTAAATATCGAGGTTTGTAAATGACCAACCTTTTGGTAATTTCTCATACAATGATGCACGAAATTTGACTGGTATGGCTAACTTACTTGTTGAAGAAAATTTGCCTTATTTGTTTTTTGAAAGTCTTGCTTTTAAAGATTATGCACAAACTTGTTTAAATCCTCAATTTAGAGGTTATAGTCGCAAAATGGTTAAGAAAGAAATTATAAGGTTTTATCGTGCGGAAAAGGATAGGTTACAAATTCTTTTGCAAACTTTGATGGCCGTGTAACTATTTGTTCTGACATTTGGGAGGATACTTATCATAATTTACATTATTTGGGCCTGACTGCACATTTTATTGATAATGATTGGAATTTGCATAAACGTGTTCTTGCTTTTTGTGAATTTAATGATCGTCACACCGCTGAACATATTTATATTTTGATTGAACGTATTTTAACTGAGTATAATTTGATTAATAAGGTATTTGTTATAGGTTTTGATAATGCTAGTAATAATACTGCTGCTATACCTAGATTACGTGAATTGTGTGGTTCTAATACTTTGACGGGTAGATTTTTTCATCAACGATGTGCATGCCATATTATAAATTTATGTGTGCAAGACGGTATAAAAGCGTTAGGAGATGCCATGGAGGTAGTCAAGGGGGGGGGATTAGACGTATTTGGGGCAATGGTCAACTTAAATTAAAATGGCAAAATTATTTGATTGAAAGAGGTGTGAAATATGTTGCTTTTTCTAAAGATTTGTTTATTTGGTAGGATAGTACTTATAAATTAATTAAAGTT